GAGAGAGAGAGAGAGAGAGAGAGAGAGAGAGATTTCAATTGAATTTCATCCATAAAAACATTTTTAAAATCCCATAAAAAACACTTTACAACAAAGTTTCTAATTATAGCCGAAATAAACGTCTCTAAACCCCAATTATAAATGCATTTCGCTGTACATTATGGCCAATAGTGTACAGAAATTTCATCACTAAATAACTTTCAACACTAAACAAAAGCATTTCCCAAAACTGTTTTCCCAAAATATTTTTCACACACAATAATCAATTTGCAAACCATTTTCAAGACCACAGGTTAGTGTATAACAATAGGGACTTTAGTGAATAATACATGGTATAAAAGGCTTACCCAAAAAGGCATTCACAATGGACTGGCAGTGACTGATTGGGAACGGTATGCAAGGGTTAGATATACACCACACAAATGCAATATTCATTAGATTGCAGTTATAGACAGGTAATGATGATTAGGTTTGTTTTCATAAAAGCCGACAACTATTATAATAAATATAATATAAAAACAATATAATTATGTCTCGACTTTCAAAACAGTAGTGAAAATATAATGATAAACACAATTAACAAGAATTATAAATGATTACTAATTTCCACCATAATGACAATTTTTCAATGACAATCACATAGACATAGAGTACAGTGAAGTATGTAAAGTATTGGTTACTAGTATTCTGTATACCTGCCCCCATCTGAACCACCACAATGAATCACATAAATCACCAACATACAATACACACATACACACCAGACACACAATACCCACCTAGGTATTTATCACTTACTTCCAGGTATTGATCCACGATAAGTATACGTTTAGAAATTGAATTATACACGTGATGAAATGTTTTATTTTGAAAAGTATTGTCAAAATAGGTGTGAATATCACTTCACCGGTTATACACAACTTGATGGACAGGTTATTGGCTTATCTGTGAAGTGTCTTATGATAGGCACAGACAACACAAACTCGAGACAACTCAAAATTACATGACATTTAAAACAACAGACCTATTATTAAAACTCAGTCGACAGTCCTTTCACTCGTATGGTTAGAGTATATAATAATAATATCTGTTATTAAAACAGACTTTAAGACGACTCTTGAAATGGTTATGATTTTTGTCAGCAAAAGTGAAACATTAAATGACATTATGTTTATACAGGACTTGTCGTTATCGGTAGTCGTTATTATAAAGGGGTTCACTATCTGTATTGTGTACACAAATGAATACACTGTTTGTTGCGCTATCGTTAGTAAGATCAAAGTCTCTCTCTCTCTCTCTCTCTCTCTCTCTCTCTCTCTCTCTCTCTCTCTCTC